GTGTGTGTGTGTGTGTGTGTGTGTGTGTGTGTGTGTGTGTGTGTGTGTGTGTGTGTGTGTGTGTGTGTGTGTGAAAGATAAAAATCACTTTTTTCTTCCTGTCTACAATCCATTGAACAGCAGGACTCGTCAGGGGTGACAAAATATGGATGAAAGGAGTTTGTGACTTGGAACAGAACAGAAGCAGGCCACCAGGCCAGCTGGGAATTGAACCCGTGACCCAGTGGGTGTACAGCACAAAGTCGGCCTCTGTGAACTCACGCCCTTACAAAAGCATTCATACTAGAAACTGTGACCTGTTAAATGATGGAAAAATGCCTACAGGCCCCAAAGACTTAATGGGATTGTGGTAGCAGACTGTAATTACAAGTGTGTGTGTGTCAGGATGTGTGTGTGTGTCACTGTGTAAAAGTGTAATTATGAAATCTCACTCTGAGGAGTTGGGGGCTGGCGGGTGCTTTCTGATTTCCCTGGGTGCCCACTGAAACATTTTCAGTGTACACATATACAACCACACACACACTTTTGCGTGTGTGTGGATACTTCTGCACACGTGTATGTTTGCGTGAAAGTCTAACCTGCAGCTTTTTTTGCAGCTTAACGTTTGCACAAACAGTGTTTGGCTCCGCGGAGCTGTGAGCAAGAACTTTGACACGAACTTGGTTCTGTTACTGTTTCAGTTACCAGCTTCGTTCAGGGTCATCAGGGATGCAGCGCGTGCTGCAGCGCGTGCTGCAGCTTGTACCTGCGCGTGCTGCAGCTGAGCTACTGCTGTCACTGTCTTCATCAGGACTGTGAACTTATATCTTTACCACTTGCAGGGTCACGGGGCAGCTGGAGGCTCTCCTGGCTGATATTGGGAAAAATATGGGATACAGCTGCCCGTCCTTCACAGGGTTAAGACACATAGACCACAGACCATGCACACTGCAGAATCAGTTCAGAATCATGCGGGAGATGATTCAGGAGAAAGCCAGAACACCTGGATTTAACCTGCTCGGACACAGGGAGACCTTAGAGGCCAGCCATTCTAGCTGTCAGGCGCCTCCCCTGGTAAGAAATAGCCCCATAAATATTTATAACCTGACCGGCTTGTTAAAAATTTAATATGTTTTTCTACACGTAGGCCATATTTTATGCTGCCACGTTTGTTAAAAGTCAAAGTATGTGAACTTTTGATTGTGTGGACGGGTGCCTGCCCGCACATCAGTCTCATAATAAAGTGAATTTAAGAGCAGGGACACTTCAGAATGAAACATCTCAAAGATGACACACACATACGTGAGTTTGCGCATGCATGCAAACAAAAATATCGCATTCCCGTAACGGCTCCCAGGTCGTGGCTCTGCAGCGAGACTCCACAGAGAGGTGTAAGGGGATACGTAGCGTCCCTGAGGTCTTAAACCAAACTAAATACACTGTTAACAGTCTCAGTCTAAAAGGCTTCAATAACAATCAGCTAATGGACTACACCTGCAGCCCAGCTCAGCTTATTAAGCCTGTGTTTGTGTGTGTGAGAGAGTCTGTCTGCATCTGTAAATGGGCTGATGTTTCCACCAAGGTAAGAAGACAAGGGAAGCTGATACTGGCAAAGAGTAGGGTGAACAGATGCTCCTCCCCCCTTTGTCTGTCTCCAACACACACACACACACACACACACACACACACACACACACACACACA